CATTCCCAGGCATCATCTAACATCACCACGTAGGCAGCTATAGCTACCTGATCATGTGAAGTTTTTCACATAACCAGTAACCAGTTGTTGTTCATCTTTCCAATTGGCTGCACCGCCAATAGCCAGAAACACGTGTCCGCGGTTTGCCTCCTCTTTTTGAGTGTTCTGTCCACAAATTTTCCTTTTTGATTTATATCATACATACTCAATAACATCTTTATCTCTGTATTTATATCCTGGACCCGAAAGTCACGCAGGTAGCTATAGCTGCCTACGTGGTGATGTTAGATGATGCCTGGGAATGCCAGGTCTTCTAATTGAAACCACAAATGTGCGGTTAGCTCCTGTTGGTGACACCGTGCTTTTTGGTAACCAGTTGTTGCCCGTCTTTGCAATTGGCTGCACCGCGCTGATGAGGCCAATAGCCAAAAACACGTGTCCGCGGTATATATATATATATTTTACAAATATTAAACGAATTGAGCTTCGAAGTTCTGTCTTACCCACCATACTTCCCAGACTTCTCGCCTAGCGACTACTATATTTTTAAGCACTTCGTACTTCGATAACTTTCTCAACGGTACAACTTTCGCCAATCAAAAACTGTCTTCGTCGACTTTATCGAATTCTGAACACTTAATTATGCTGACAGAATAAATCGACTTGTGTTACGTTGGCGAAAGTGAACTGATTCAAATGGCGCTCATTTCGATTGAATTTAGTCAGTATTAACTGCGATATTACAGTTCAAATTTGACTCATAAAAACGGAGAAAACTTTCGAAACAACCTATACATCGTCAAATCCGTCATCCTCAATAACACCGAATACTGAACACCTTCAACGTGCCTTTGTGATAATGCAACAGCATCAAGTCGAGTATGCAACGTGGTTTGTGATGTCGAACAATAGACTTGAACCTAGGTCAGCACGTGAACGTATAGCGATGGGAATAGTTTGGATGGCCCAACAGTTAATTGAAGAGGTAGGTCAATTCATCAGCTGATGTAGTCAGCAAAGCGGACGCTTGACTATATCGATCCAATTAGGAGAGTGGTATCTGATGGAACAAATACATCGCTTCTGTATTTCAAAAGGAGGGTAATGCATACAGAGTCGGACGTGTGCTATATGATTTTTTTGGAGGGCGATTATGGTTATGAGACTTCTCAAAATTTTCATATTCTGCGAAATGTATTTTTATTCGTTGAATCGATAACAACTAGTGAGTTTGGGCAAATCGGAGATGACTTTCATCTGTACTTACTCATTACATCATATTATAGCAATAAAGAAACGAAGAAATCGGGCATATGTTTCATTTAAATTATTGGATGGTAAGATAGACTGTGTTGCAATACTATCTTTGTTCCTAGACTGGCATCTAGGTACCATAATATTTTTTTTCTACACCCCTACTCTAACAATACACTTATATGACCATAATCCGTTTCATAATGATATCCATTATGATACAGATTTTTCATAAAGATACAGATTATCAACCAATAGAAACCCATAATTTTTCAATCAAGAATCCTGTTCCTTTGTTTGTCCTAGATTCTAACCTAAGTAACTAATTGCTTTATTTGTCAAAATCAGTTTTCATATTACCTACCTATATTATTAAAATGTCTGAAAACAGCGATATAGAAGGAATACCATCGACTCCAATATTTTTGAAAGATCAGATTAATTACAGTTGTTATATTCAACATAAATATAATCAGAATCTTTATAGTTTTCATATATCCATGATAATACCATTAGGTTTGTTTTTTTTTAATTATGAGTTAATTACTGTAAATGTGTTCAATACAAATATAATATTTATAGTTTTTCATTATTTATCGGGTTTAGAAAAAATAGCGTATGCAACTCTCATGTAATGGTTATTAATACACTCGCATATACCATACAAAACTCGCCTTCGGCTCGTTTCGTATCCCGGTTAATGCTCGTGTCTTAATAACCCTCATTACATGATCGTTGCATAATATACTATTATACAAAAGGGCATAAACTTTATGTATTGTAATGCACAAAAGCTCTCGAAATTTTTTGTTTCAGCTCATATTAAATTGAAAATGAGTCTCGTGCGAATCAATAGTCTATGAATGAAGGAAAATTCACAATCTTCAATTTCGTGTTTTTATATTTGTTATGATTATTTTGAGTTAAATCAAATAGTATAGATACTTTTTTCATCGATCATGTATACTTTGCTCTGTAAATGGGAAAGTGTTGCAATAAACGTTATAAGTATCATTATTATTATTTCAGGGAAATATAACGCTCACAAGCACAAAGTTTGTTCTGTTGTCCGAGAGTATGACTAAAGGTTTCTTCCAAAACCCAGAGTTTATCCCGTTCTTCGAGAGTATGACTAAATGTTTCTTGCAAATCCCAGAGTTTGTCCCGTTCTTCGAGACTAAGGGTTCCTTCCAAAGATGGCATTACTTTCATCCAAAATGGATTTATGAACTTGACTGCAGTAATTCAAATAGTAGCAAAATTGTATAATCCAATATTGCTTAACTTGTGTGTGATACTTCAATATAACGAAATCCTGAAATCCTGCTTCATGAGAACGGTGTTAGCCGGCCATACAATATTCTCCATCTTGGATCGATTTCATAAATGGATATGCAGGAAAAAACTATCGCAAAAGCTTGCTGGGTTCAACCCAGAAAAAAAGAAAGGTCCTCATGTGACCGTCCAGTGTTTTTGAATACTGGAGGTTTCCCAATGCCATATTTTAAATTGTTCAGAATTACCATTGCCAGTTTGACAACTAAGATAGGGATGCGAAATACATGGGCTTTCCCTAGGTAAAGACCTGTTACGTGTTTTAGAGAAGAACACTTATGAAAAAAAATTATCATTTCATTCCAAATGTATACAAAGGAAACGTTTTTGTTGAGAATGTTAAGAGTGTTGTGTCTAAATTATAGTAGAAAGAGCATGTTTATGAGAGTTTCACTTTCATAAAATAAATCAAGCCAAAAATATCAAATACCTTGGTATTGTATTAGATTGTCACTTTAAATGGGACCAACGTGCGAGATTTCTGACTCAAAAGTTACGCTGTATCCTGTACAAATTCAAACAACTGACGCAATATCTCAATATCAAGCAGAAAATAATGATATATAAGAGTTTAGTAGAATCTCATTTGAATTATGGAATCATCGGTTGGGGGGATCTTTCGAAAAGTTATTACAATATACTGGAAATCTCGCAAAAACGGTTCCTCAAAATTCTTCTCAATAAGAATAGAAGATATTCTAGTGACTTGCTGTTTTGTGAAGCTGGTGTTGATGATGTTAGACAATTATATTACATACAAGCAAATCTGAGACAATTCATATACAGATCTGAGTTAATAATGCAAAACCATAATTACTCAACTAGGCATAAATATAACCCCTTATGTATAAGTCAATCGGGCAAAAAAGCTATCCATATCTTGGGCCTAAGTTGTTTAATACATTGCCAAATGATATTAAAAATGAGGTCTGCGCACACCGTTTCAAAAAAACTCTTGAACATTATGTACAAAATACAAGCAGAAACTATTTTCATGAAAATATAGAGAGTTAAATCAAATAGGCAATGGATTAAAATGAATAGAATAAAAAAAAGTATAATAAAAGTAATGACATTTTTACCATTGAATTCTCCAATGTAGATATTTTAGTATGTTTTTGCTTTTAGATTTTAATTTTAGATCATTTTATTAGATGAACTTATACACTCTGTGTATGTATATTTCGTTTCAATTAGTAATGTCTTATGTGTTTCTTTTAAAACTTACAAACAAGTACTTGTATTTCGTAAGCTGTAAATTTATTCACCGTTAGTTTTAGAAATTTGTTTTCAAATTACAATTTTGTACTATTATCCTTGCACTATTATCCTTGTGTGTGAATAAATATTATAATTATTATTATTATTATTATTCGAATATGTTCTTGGAAATATGGTTAGTGTAATTATTATCTTGGCGACTCGAGTGGTCTCCTATACAGAAAGATTAATCGTTTCATGGAGTAGTCTCAGTATAAGTTTCAAAGAAAATGCGAAAATATGACGGATATGAGCGGGACTCAAACAAAAATCGAGAAATCTCCACTTCGTAGAAAAAGAAAAACTTTTTATAAGCAACTCACTTTTTAGAGTCACACGCACCAAGTTCGAATAAGCAAAATGCTACCGTGTCCTTATAAAACATAAAACTGGGAGTTTTGTTGTTATTTCAGGTTCAGTAAATTGATTAGAGTGGCCTATGTTTTTTAAGTTTCCATTCAGTTTAGGAATAAACGGATATTTCAAGTCTGGTGGCATTGCATTTGAAAAGGTCTCTCGAGGGCTCTTCAAGTGTGAGGCGGTAGGCGAGGACTCACTTCGTTCACTGAATGTGTCTTCTTGTGACTATAACTTCCAAAAATCATATATATCAATATTAACAGCATTGTGCATTCACCAAGTTTATCTTTTCATAACAAGAACTAATTCAAGACAAATAATTAATCAAATCCATTATTTGTCCTCCTTTATACATATTATGTACTCGCTGATTCTTTTTTTACCATTACCAGAAAAAATCCTATGGGCTGCCTCCAGCACGAAATTTTTTTCAGACTGTAGAATTTTTTGTTCCTTCCCCAAAAATTTTCGGAGATCACTCGTTAAAAGCTTTTCTGAATCCTGATGGATTCAAAATATCAAATGTCATCTTTATGCTGATGTATTTGTTTCATTTCAGTGTAATTTATGATTATATTCAGACATACTTCTCAACCTTGCACATTTTATGCTACTCGACTAACCTAACCTAACCTAACCAAACCTAACTTAGCCTAACCTCACCTAACGTAACCTTACCTTACCTTACCTCACCTAACCTAACCTACCCTAACCTGACCTAACCTAACCATATGAAAATTATATTTATTAGAAAATAAAAAATAAGTATAGTAACACTAACAGTAACATACCTCGCATCTGTGGGTTTGTACGTAACATCGTATTTGTCTGCATTCGCAACTGACGTGGCCCAAGACACACGGACCGATGTGGGGTTGAGAAAAGTCACAGTGATATTTTCAGGAACACCTGGACCTCCGGGCATCGAACCTGAAAAAATGCACATGGCTCTTGTATGTAAAATTTGTATAACTGCCACTGAATATTATTCAGTATTATATTGTACAATTCCATAATGGTAAGCGCTGAATTCTCAGAAATATCAATGTTGTCAAGGTTGGGATTGTATACAGTGTGTGAAAGCCAAATGGAATAAATTCATTATTTCGGTTACGGTACATATTTTAACAATACACCCGATACACGTCAAGTTTAAATTATAATTTGACATACTTCAAAGGAAAAATGCTAATCTATCCATTTGTCAGACTTGAGGTCAACGAAATTTAAACTTAAAATACTGACAACTATGTTGTAACATACAAAACATCTAAAAAGAACCTTTCTATGGTGTTTGCTTACTTTCTTATTATCAATATCTCAATATGAAATAAGTTTTGAGTATATCGCAATTACTTTTGAGTGTATTTTATCAAATTCCGGTAACCACATGCTTTTAATTCATTTTTTGTAATTGTTGCAATAAACTTGAAAGCGTTCAACTTTTTGAATAGTGATCTTTCAAACGATATATCACAAACCTTTACTTCCCACATAAAATATGGGGGGTTGTACCTGCCTACTATTTTGGAAATATAGTACAGAGTAAGATATATGAAGAGACCAAAAATATAACAGGAGTGAAATAGGCACAGGAGAAAATGCTGTGAACTCATCAATTTGACCTGAACATCAGACATCAGAAGAAAGAATGTCGATTCGAATACGAAGAAATATTTAGGAACGTCCTGTGAGTGGGTCTAATCGTCTCTCCGCTGCAACCTGCGGGGTTTATTGTGGTTCAAAATTATTTGAATTCTTGAATTCGGACGAATACATCCGGTTATTTGGCGGCTAGATTGATACCAGAAACCTGAAGGTGTTTTTATCTGCGAACCAATCGAGAAATATAAAGTGGAGGAAGAAATACACACTAGAAGATCAGTACATCTCATAGAGGGCGTTTCAACGAAAACTTGACCCAGTTTTTCATTTATGAGATACTGGGACAACCTGTATATACATTTCGATAGTTCAATTGAAATGGCGTGCAGGTGGGCAGAGGACAATTGAAACGACGGTGCGAGGCTTCAGAGAACGAACATCGAGCAGAGAAAAGGGTCGGTGCTGTTCGATAAAATATATATTAACACTTCGTGTACCTATTCAACTTCAAAGGCATAGAAAGAATATAAGGTAAATAATTCAAGACATTACAATTTCTAGTTTTTTGCGGTAGATTTGCAGAAACTATGTTCTCGTTTCAGGCCAAAAAGAAGGAAAAAGATCAAGAAGGATCAGAATCAGATGAATTGTCGTTAAATCCAATCGATTGAACTTTATCCGGAAAATTTGGTTTCATCTATATCTTGATCGTTCACTGCCTGCTACGTCTTTGTCCTATTGTCTACCTTTACAGCCCATGTTCATTTTATAAGAAATTCGATGCGAGTTACACCACTAACTAGCAATAATTTCGGTCTGGTCGTGTTTGCAATTTCAGGAAGACTCGTGGAATTTCACCCCTTCCGGAAACATAAGTTCGAGTAAACCTACTTCTTGAGACAGAGTGAGTACCTACATGTCTTCTCCTTCAATGTCAAGTGGACTATTGAAATGAAGAAGTTATGCGTTTTATTTATCATTGTTACCGAATGAGTATTGATCGTTTAAACTTGTAAATGCTTTTCCTTCCATATTGTTCATGTATACATATTGGTGATTTAATCGACAGCTGTTGATTGAACAATCCCTACTGATTGAAAGTATTGAGTTATAATTATTATCAAATTTTGATGTTCATATTATCTATTCTTATTTGTTGGCTTCACTGGAAACCAATCTCCGTGTTTCATTTGTACTTAGTTTCCTGCTACTTGTTTTCTAATCCAGTAATATTTATGCCATAGTCAAGAGAGTACAAACCTCATTGCAAATTATCATATATTTATTGATTAATTATATATTCATATATCTGCATTTATTTTATTTGATTCCCCATTCCTCGTCAATTCATATAAGTATATTTATAGGCTGGCGCCCTCTCAGCTTACTAAAGAACATCTTGAATTTTCAATCACATCTCAAGAATTCGAATCCATGCTTTGGTTGTGACGTAGATAAAATTTATGTTGAAACTTTTTCTAAGAAATTTCATTTTTCAAGTAAGTAGGTCACACAATTTTTAAAAATTTTTACCTAACCTTACGTAACCTTACCTTACCTAATAAAACTCAACCAAACCTAACCTAAACTACTCTACTCTACCCTACTCTATTCTATTCTACTCCACTCAACTCTACTCTACCCTACTCATTTACTCTACTCTAACTTCACCTAACCTATCGTAACCTATCCTAACCTAACCTAACATAACCTAACGTAAACTAACCCAACCTAACCTAACCAACAAAGTAGCTAGATTTTGATATTTTTTTGACAACCAATTTTTTTATCCTACATATTTTCTTCTTCTTATACCTCCAAGAATATGTGTACAAATTTTCATGATGTTCGGTTGAGTAGGTTTCGCGTGAAACTTACATTCGCATTTATTTCATTAGTAGGGATTCAACAGTTCTTTTCGTTCCTTCTACTGAGGGAATAAAAAAAATCAACAATTATTTTGTGAATATTGTAGATGAAGTACTTATAGATGCATGCCTTGAGAGATACATACTTAGATTTAATAAAAAAAAGAATATTCTGTTGAGGAGGCCTAATTATGATGCGCATGATTACAAATTTTCCTGAGTTGATTTGAATTCCAATTTCTTTTCTGTTTTAATTTGTTTCACAGTGTTATATACCAGTTTTGACATTCATTTATATTTATATGAAAATGACTTCAGATTGTGTATGATTTATATGAAAGCAGATTTGTGTTAACTTGTCTAGACACCACAGTATATTTGTGAATGATAAATAATTGTTACTATTATTGATACAGCTCACTTTATAAACCTTCCTTCACATTACTGAAGTTGTGCGGTATTGACAACCGGCATTTCCTGACAATTTCGATTAAGATGAAATATGTTTTCACTTGATGAAGCTTTATAGTAATTTCAGAAACTACACCTCACGATTTGATTTCCACAAGATGAAATATGACGTATTAAGGTCACCGGTATCTAGTATGGACACTGTTTTGTTTCAAAATATATAACGTTTCGCTAAAAGCTTTTGGACAGCAGAAGTTTCTTACAGCCCTTCATGTGTTGTGATATTCGTGACTTGGGGAAACATTTGGTTTGGCCAACATAGCATTTTGTAGCTCAATTCACAGATTTTATTAGATTGTATGTCTCACGGCTTTTTTTTTGAGAAAAAATGTTTTCCAACTTCATTTCGATGTGAAAGAGCCACTTGAATTGTTTATTATTGGCTAAAAAGTTGTTTTTTTCGGATTTTTTTCTAGATATGAAATTTTTTGATATTTTATGTTAACATTTTCGTTATGGGGTGTGAGATTTTTTATTTGATTACGACGAGTGAATAATTTTATTGTGTAACTCAGGATTGGAAAATGAAATTGATAAAGTATAATATTGAACATTTTATTAAAACAACGATAAAAATAAAATAAAAACAACAATAAAAATTAATTGGCGATCCGGGGCGACTTCATTGATTCCAGTGGCACATTTGCTTTTTCAGCTGCAGGAAAACCCGGAAAAACCTGCAGCACCACATCATCTGAAGATCTTGATCTAACAGTGTCCTCTCTCTTATAAAACAAAATGTAGGGTGTCTCCAAAGCCTCCAATAAATTAAATGCATCGCCAGAACACTTCGTGACACGACTATCGCAAACTTAAACCAGTCCGTTTCGTCTTTGACCAAGGCGTAATAATGACCAAATTCAACGCCAGAATCACAGTGAACAATGACTGCATGAATATTATAATAGTGGTCTGCTAGGTTGAAATGTTCATCTATTTCGAAAAGCTAGATGAAGTTCCAGAAATTCACATAAGTTCTCGGTACTTCTTGAACATTTACCACAAAGTAAATAAGTGAGGATTTTTCCAGCAAAAGATTCACAAACACGAGACGTGATGGGCTGTACGGAATCATCCAGTCCAGAGCGGTCAGGAGTATTGATTTTGCTCTTGTTTTGCTCACGAAGAGTATTCAACAAGAACCCCAAGAATTCGAAACAATCCTCTTGTTGCTAACGAGTATCTAGTGGACTTCAAAGACTCCAGGAAATCGGTTGGAGGGAAAGATGATACCTTCTTACGAAACTGCAGCTGCATGAACAGGTATTTGAGTTTGATGAATGAGCAGGAAACATTCCTGTTCTCGTCCATCATTAGAACTTCGTTCTTGATATTCTTCGTCATGAACAACACTCGTAAAATACTATTCATGTAGCAAGTGTTTCCTAAATTATCCAATCCAATTTTCTTCTCTAGAGTTTCAGGACAACTATCTACTGATTCGTAAGGAAGAAAATGTTTCACAGAATCTCCATAAGAACCATTTCTCAAGCTGCGATCGATCCTTCCAAGTGAAGAAGGGTTTCGTAGAGGAATCGATTCAGCTCTTGCTTCATGAAGCTCTTTCACTGAAAGGGAACCAGTTCTACGAGGATTGCAACTCATATTTGGGGAGCAAGAATGACCTGAGTCCACTGACCGCACTGAAAAAGAAGAAGGTGGATCAATCACTTCTGAATTAACCGTGATAGGAGACTGATGAATATCTCATAAAAATTATTCTATCAAAAAAGAGGTAAACCGGTGATCTTTCGTTGCTTGGCCTATTCTCCTTCTGAGTTCATGAACGAATAACAGAGACTCCGGGCCATAAACACCAAAAGTTTCAACCGCTACTGGATGAAACAGTTAGTTGTTTCCAAGATTTTGGTATTTTTTTCTTTTCAATTTCTCGCCAGACAATGCTGCAGTTCCAGCAGACTTGGAACTTTCGGCTAGATGGGAAGCCGCGACCGTATCAACGCAAGTGAAGTCCCAAGTATAATT